AAATTTCAACGTGGAATTATCCTTGTATAAGAAAAATTATTCATTTCTGCCTTAGCAGGAAAAAATGTCAATTTCCAATGAATGTTTTTGGGTTCCGTTATAAATTGTCAAAAAATCATATTTTTATATTAAAAATTTATCCTCTTTTTGAATCCGGATATTCCAGAATTTATTTTTCTTTGTCTCGTCTATTCGTAGGTCTGATTCGTAACTGGGAATAACGATATGCCGTATATTTTATTTTACACATTTGATATGGATTATCTCAAATTTTATTTTTAATGAAGTGAAATGTAATCATAATCAAGAAAATCCATATTTTACGTAAAATTTAATTAATATTATATTCTCCGAATTGCAGATGAAATATGAGAAATCATTTCCTAATTAATTTAACGAAATTAAAGAATTATATATTTTTTTACCAGTCTTCATATATTGATCTTTAGATTCTAAGATTTCCGTGTAATTATTATGATTTTAACACGAAATTCAGCAATTTCATAGATACTAAAGTGATAATTACTTACCTTACCTTATAATTTGGTAATAAAAAGTAATATGAAGTCAAATGTAATTATGTATACTGATATGTTTACAAGGAAACAAATTTGGTAAAGATATACTATATATATCTAATAGGAAATAATATAATTACAATAAGACTGCCTTTCACGAGTAAGAACGTTTGATTCATATGATTCCAATTAGCACTCACGTGTTAAAAGCTAGATAATTCCCTCTAGTATAAATTGTTTAATCAAATTTAACACAGTTAAATTGTAAACAGAATTTCGAGTAAACTATAAGTCTATTAGATAATACTTTGATTATGCGAATCAAAATTATCAATAAATTATAAATATTAATTAAATCTTTATTTTTTATTAATTTTATTACTACATTCATACAGTATATAGGCCTATGTTTACAAACAAAAGTGCGGTCTTATATTTATGGTTGCTTCTGGACTCATCTTTCCTTTATCAGGTCCTATCTTTGTTCATTCAGCAAAATGATGACTCCTTAATTACGTGCAATTGACTTAAAATTGCATAACTGTTCAATCTGCTCTCCACGTTAAAACATAAAAGCTTTTTATTCTGAACTTTAAAATTATGAATGTTGAGAGCATAGTTATTTGTAAAGTAAGATTTATTAGCCATAAATTGTATCTTATAATTGCATTCTGGAATCACTTTAGAATAGGTCTTCGTCACGTCATTCGTCTGAAGGAGGAACCATTTTATAGCCTGAACGAATTGACTGCATAATTCCCGCTATCTTTTCTTTTTCCGTTTTAAAAAGGGGGATGATGTTAATGAGAACAAAAACGATTGTTAAAGAACAAACGATCAACTGTAGTGATTTATCGACTACATTTATCTATTATTGGTGTCACATACCTGCAACCGTTCTAGACCTACCACATTGCTCTCTTACTGAGGGGGAAAATTGTAGTCAAGTAAGAAATAACTACTGTGTATCAGATAACGTTAAATGGATAGATCTACGTAAGAGCGATAATTAAAACATATTACCTAAACATTGTTAGAACTATCAAATATATTTTAACTAAATTTTATATTTAGAATGATGATTAAATCTGTTTGAAATTATTAAAATTTTATTAAAAATTACTTAACAGTTTTTGAGATATTAACTTAAATCCACCGCCGCAAATTTAAAAAAAAAACATATGGTATAATACGTTACAATCGTTTTTAGTGTATGTTGAATACACAAAACATTTCTCTCTTCTAAAACTCTTTGACTCATAGGAAAATAAACAATTCATCATATTTTAGACAAGTTAAGTACAGAGACTTTTCTGCGTACAGAATGTAAGCAAGGGCAGATGTCTTTATCAATTGATTTGACTGATGAATTTTCAAACTCTCCGACAGATTACATTGTTGAGACAATAGTTGTGTAACAACATCTGTCAAACATTGAATCACATTGTGGCAAAGGGTACATCAGCTCGGACAATACCCGATAATAAAAAATCTGTTCTGTTCAATCGTGCGTATTAAATCGGATTTAACAAGATAACGAAAGAAATTTAACCGAAAACAATGTTTTTCCATGCTTAATAACTAACAAATAGGAGTATTTTTAAAGTTTAACATACGTTAAATTCGTTAATTGCTCATAGATTAGTGTATAATGATCGAAAGCGTGAAGGTATTCTCATGCACAGTTTTGATGATAAATATGATTATTTAATGAATATTTTCTTTATAAATTCAAGCTCTGTTTTTAAATTTAAAGAAGAAAATTTCATGCAAACTAGGACAACTCTCTACTTGACACACGTTTGACAAATTTCTCTATCGCCCCACACTTCAGTAAGTTGTAAATCAAGCTATATAACTGTCAACGAAAGTGCTTTTACGACAGGCGGCTGAAGTTAAAAGGGAGAAGTCTGATGTATTAATTGATGCCTAGTTCTACCCAAGGAAGAAAACGACGTGTAAATAATTTAAGAAAATAGTTTTTAATTTAATAATAATAAAAAAAGTAATTATACACTTAATAATAATAAAGATGATCTCTTTCTAAATTCCTGAGACTTCTTTACGGGTCAATCCGAGACTAAACTATAAAATTTCTTGTTTGATCTGTTGAGGACAACTATCTATATTGGTAAACAAATGATCCACGTCTGCTGTAGGCATCATAGATGTTCCAGTTACGATCGAAGGTTCCATAAACCAATTTGGTATAGGTTGTTGTTGCATCATTCCCATATTCGGTTCCATAGATTTTGCTATCTCTTCCGCTTTCTTTTGCATTTTCCTTTGCTTGGCTCTCCTATTTTGAAACCATATTTTAACTTGACGGCTCGTCAGATTCAATTCTCTAGCAATTTCACTTTTCCTTTCTATGGTTATATACGGAGACTGAATAAATTGTTTTTCCAATTCAGTTCTTTGAAACTCTGAATATACCACACGATACTTGTCTTTGCATTTATTTTTCGGTGAGTCTAAAAAATTGGAAAATTAAAATTTTAAAATAATATTTCACGTTAGATGTACGTTATCAAGGTTTTCTTGCGAAAAGAATTGTGCCAAGTATTGATTAGATAACAATATTTAACATTTTATCAACAACAATCATAAAAATGGCAAATAGAGAGAGAAATGAAAAAGAAAAAAGCTAAATTTTGCACTTAAAAATGCATTTTTCATGCTTGCTTCTAGATCAGGTGAAGAGTAGACCACCTGCCAGCAGGTCAAGGGTCATTACCATTAGTCGCTACAACTTTGTTAAAGGCCGAAAATGCTCCTAAGGTTTAAAGGATATGAGGTATTTTCAAACGATTATTAGGCAACGAGTTACTAAATAATGCGACAATTTTGGTGAAATGTTCGTTTGAATAATCTTGTCTTCAATCATTTGCAATTTGAAACGTGTCAGAGGATAACCGAATTCTTCAGAAAATTTTGTAATAAGGTGTTTAGAAAAGATCTAAACAAATAATGAGCTAAAAAAATCTATTTAGAGAGACGATAATTTTAGTGAAATCCATCATAGGCACATCAAAACAGCGTCAGAATGTCTCCTGTGACCGCAAAAAGGCACTCTCCAAGACGTCTTTGACTATTCATTTGGGTTTATTGAAGTTCAAAAACTCGCCGCTGTCATTAGGGTCAATGGGAGTAGACTGCCTTAATGGAATTATACCCTGCGGATTTTCAGCTTAAATCTATTCTGCTTTTGTGTATATCTGGTAATGCATATCTGTAATTAGCAAACCTAGCTATAATTAGCTTATAAATTAAAATGTGATTCGAATGTTCACGCTGTAAATATTTTTCTTGCGACGTCAATATTCCATATGAATATTCTAATTTGCTTTTGTTTTAATTACGTGTAGAATTAAATTGTATATAAAGATTAAGGTACAAGTTATTTCACATAAATAAATGATCTAATAGTAATTTCTATCAAATTATTTTGTAAAAAAACTATTTTTCAAGAATAAAAATTTAAAGAACAGTTCTACAGAGTGCTCGAATGCTCGTTTCTAGGAATTTCCAGAATGCGGATTATACGAAACGAGCATTCTGAATATTACTACATGGAAAGGTATACCGATGGAAACATTCTAATAGGATTCTGGAGTTAAAATGAAAGGTTAAATTTCAAATGCGTATACTGTGATGGCTGTGGTCCCAACCGACTCCTCCCGGAGGGAAACCGCCTTGTGCCAAACGTCACTAGTTATTGATTAACGGTAGTTCTTGAACACACTAGTATCAAGTATGTATCAAATTGACGGGAGTACGAACAGATACGCATCTGAAATTTAACCTGAAAGGAAAATGAGAGAAAATTACAAGTAAAAAGTTTAAGAATTAAATTTAAAAGGAATACACAATAAAAAGTTTATTAAATTCTTTATCGACTCACCTAAAGCACAACACTCTTGTCTACGTTCAACTTTAGAATACTTGTCGTACATTTCATAATCTGAACTTATATTGCTGCAGTTAGCTTCGTTGAGGATAGAAGGGATGACTTCCGCATTATTAACAATATTTTCAGATAAAGGTATATGAGGTTGAAAGTTATAATGATCGTAAGTTAAATGTTCGTTTTCTGCCGGATAAGTAGATGCACAGTTCATTTCTGCCTGCTGATTTGTCCAAATCCGCTGATCTTCGCTTTGTTGCACGCAACATTGATATTGAGACCATGCTAAATTTTGTGCACTTTCATCCTGAGCATCGTTACACTGATTATTGTAGAAATTTGAATAGCTCGAAGTAGGAAACATATTGTAATGATAATTGTGAGATAATACCATAATTTCAATTCGTGCCGCTAAAGTCTTAGTAGGAACCACGCAGCGTTCGTTAGAATTCACTAAATGGCACTCGTGTCAGGTGCCTTATGTATACATTTGGGGCAGGGACACGTATTTGGACTAGTGACCAATCACAGGACACGTTAGCAACGTCATATGTAAATAACTGACTTTATCTTTAGGGTTATTTTTTATCCAGAATCAAGGACTTTTATAACAAATATCTTATCTTATGGATTTACAGATTTTAAATCTTTGTAAATGGTAACTGAGATTTTTTTTTTATTTATTTACTGATATTAGATATGAATTAGTATAGTTAATTGTAAGATATAAGTAAATATTCTTCTTATATAATTTCCAAATTTTTTAGCCTATTATATTTTTCATTAGTTATAAATTTTATATACCACAATTCTTATGATTTCCACGTTATTTGCGTCATTTACATAGCTTTTTTGTACATATAACCAAATTATTCATTTGGTTATGAGTTATGCCTATGGCTCTACAAAATTCAATAGATATTTTATAGTTATGAATATAATTGCATAGCAATTATATCCAACAACTCAAAATAAACCCATAGCAATTAAGTTATATTATAATATAAATGCACTCAATTTAATTACATTATGATAGGCCTATTATTTTAAATTAATATTTGCTTTAAAACTTATAGACTAAATTGTAATTTTAGTCGTCTTTATGTACTGAATTTGCAACGTTTGCAAATATTTTATGCAAATTATTCATTAAATTATACGACTTACTTCTTTGATACAATTATATCCAGTAATTCATAAACATACTCCTAACAAAGGAATCTTAAATACTTTATAATTTATAGTTTTGCAGATTTAGTCGAATTATTACAAAATTATGAATGAATATTTATCAAAAATTTGCTTGAATTCTTACAGAAGTATGCATAATTTGTATAAAAATATATTATTTTTATATTTAAATTGACAGGTTTTCGTTAAAAATTCAGATAAAGAAATGTTTAGCGTATTCTAACAGTGTCTTTTTGAGGTTTAGTAATTCAGTTTGAGGCTATTTAACAGGTTAATTTTGATTAGTTTAAGGTATTCTCATAACGTGTTTGAATTGTCTGCTATTTTAAAACCTACTTCAGGAGCAACGAATTATCTTAACAACCAAATTACACAACCGATATTACCTTCTTACAAGTAGTAAATAAACCTCCGTAGGTCAGTTTAAAGTATTAAAATACCAACATAGGAATGTAATATGACTTTTTCCTTGCTTTTTATACTTAATTTAAACGTAGTTATTCAGATTTCTACGTTGTAGTGTATAACAATTGAAAATTGCTTGTCTATCATCTCTGAAAATCATAAAAATCTATTATATTATTGTAAGAAAATTTAACTTGTAAAACTTAAGCAAAATATGTTAAAAAGGAACCTTACTTTCCTACATTCTAGCTGTACAATAGGTCCTTGTATAGGCGTGACTCAACCGTATACGCTTGTCATTGGCTTGAATTTTCGAAGTAAACACTAGAATACTCATAAATGAACATAATTAGCTTCTTACATGAGGTATATGAAAACCAAAATTACTCTGTAGTAAACTTAAAGATTACAGTATATTCCAAGACCGATTTACACAAAGTAAGCAAGCTATAGTAGAAGTCCTCTATTATTTGCTGCAACGATTTCTTATGTTATAACTAAGGGCCACAACGAGTAAGTTCAGTCCTGAATATATCAAATGGCTTCTGTATGAAGAATATCTTCTACAGCATACTTAATCTAACAGTTGTTAGGGGATGTTCCATAAATTACGTCCGCATTGAAAGGATGGGAGGGGAATTACGACAAGTCCGAACAAGAGAAGGGGAGGGGTTGAGCTTCAGTGGACGTCCTTTTAATTCATTAAATTTTATACAATTTATCCATTTTATTATATTTATTTTGAAATTTCCTGTATGTTTTGTTTCTACTTATAGTATCTATCATTCGTAAAGTGATAAAAGTTTTAAGGGGGTCGAGTTTTGGACGTCTGAAGAGGGAAGGGATTACAGAAACAGGGACACGAGGGAGAGGGGGAAATAAAAATTTCAAGATAATTTCGAATGTAATTTGTGGACAGCCCCTTAAGAGTAAAAGATAAATAAAGAGGATAGGTGGTCTTCGAAATAATACAGTAGATGTGGAAAACAGATAAATTTAATGGAGTAAATGGAGTATAAATGCACAAACAAAGCGTGGGAGGTCGTAATCATAACATGATATATCTGATTAGAGTTTGCAATTAACAAAAACCAATCATTAATATCGTAAAAAGTTACTAGACATACTTTCATGCATTTTTTTCAGTATTAAAAAGTTTTATAAAAGCATTATTTATATGATGAAGTGATACGTTATTAGTCATTACACGAACATTTACATTACTATGAGCTGTTAATGCGGCCTCGACATTACTATAGCCCATATAAAGTAGCTTTTGCATTGCGTTAGGCCATATAACGTTGAATTTACATTACAATAGGCCACGTAACGGAGAATTTACATAAGTACGTGTCATAAAACACAGCATAGGTGCTAACTGTGCTTCGGTTGCGTAACTTTTTTAAATATTCAAATATGTATATATATGAACTTATAGATAATTTACTAATCATTTTATTATTTTACGACTCTTAAATCATATACGAAATGAATTCTTATCGTTTCTGTCACTGTTCGCGTCATTTGTTTGTAAGTTGAAAGCTTGCCGACTTGATATAGGATACGGTTTAAATTTTTGCAGTTGTTCGGGTGGTACCAATAGAGAATTGAACATCCCTGTGTTAAAATTTGTTAACACTGCGGGAGTGAAATGATCTCCCATGCTGTTTAGACCGACAAAGAAAAATCCCTCCTTCGACTGCCGGTGTTTCTTTCGTGGATTAAATTGTAATGAAGCAATCCCCTATTTTAACAAAAATATACTGTAAGCTTTTTGTTAAAATACTGTAACTTCGTTATATTTTTGCACGTTGTAGCCTATAATGTGATTTAAACGAATTTATCTAGTTTGTATCATTTTAGTAGTCTCTAAACGTTGAAATATAGTAAAAATATGCTGTAAAATTTTAATTACTAAACATAATTTATAGCTTATCTCATGCAGATTTAAATAAAATATTGATAAAATTGAGTTCGTAATAACAGTTATCTGTGATTTACAGGGACTGAGCGTAATGCAGGAGTAAAAGAACTTTCGATGTCTAGGCAAAACTTCGACCCTCCAAAAAATATCAATAATTTTAATTTTTTATATTTAGTTTCGGAGGTCTCCTGGAGATGTGGATGTTACTACTTTCACATTGTTTAAAATACACGTTCAAAATTTTATTTATTTATATATGAATTATCAAATCGGCATAAGATCCATCTCAGATGTACAGAAAGTAGAGTAAACAATTGCCTTGGGCAATTGCTTATTCTATATCGAGGNTATATATATATATATATATAATTAAATGCATTAATAGATTAATTGCAATAGCTCATAATTAATAGTTTATAAATTGGTCTCGTGCACTTTCAATACTCGATGAGATAGGTTGCATATAATGAAAAACCCAATGAAAGTGTTGAAGATGCGCACCATTAATTTTGCCTATTGTTATTTGTCCTTGGTTCAAAATTTTCCATGAAAAGTTTTGCTTACTCAGCTATTTGTTACCGAAATCTTGAAATGTCTAGAGCAGGGATGGGCAGGGATGGGCAATTTGCGGTCTACATTAGTTCTTCGTGAGATCCGCGTGGCGCAAAATATTTTAAAATATATATAAAATAAAATAAATATTTAAAATAACGACATCGAGCGTCCATAGTCGTACTAAAAAATACCAAGAGCCCGCTTCTTGCATGGCTAGTAGTTTAATCTGATTTCACTAAACACTTCATATAGAGCTATAAAGTTTAAAAACGTTTTCTATCCTTGCAAATTTTACACTATTAATCTACGTAAATTGAGTTACAAGTTAGTTTAAGAAATTATTTGTGTTCCTGATGAATAACAATGACGTCACTGTCTAACGGGTCAATGACGTCAAAAAAGTAGCCTAAATCAGTGACGCAATGACGTCACTGATCTAACAGTTCATGCTAACTGAGATTTCACAACTTAAGAATTATATGGATCAAGTGTAAATTATGATTAAAGTTATGAAAATCTTATGACCTTGTTTACGTTTATCAGTTTGACCTTCTGGTGACCTTATCATGAGAGCCACGTTTAACTTCTCACGATCTTTCTGTTTAGACTTATGCCTTAATTAATTAAATCTTAACTTTGTGGACTGTTTTAAATTTTGTAATTTTGGTTTAGGAATCATGTTTTAATCATACATGGCAAAAACATGGAAACGAACGACCTTCTATTGCAGTATATCATCCAAATACCTTCTCTGAGACATGGGTGATAAACTATTGATGTATCAAGAACATTTTCTCACTTGTTAGCGGTCCTAGCAGACGATTTTTTGTCGAAACGACTTGTTTGTATAGTGGCATAGCGCATTACGTTTAGTCTTATGGGTGCGCTGCTATTGTGCTTCATTTGCAAGACACTCGCGCGATAGGATGGCACTTTGCTGATTTACATAAGTTTCAGTTACTCACCTTTTGTGGTTTTGGTTTTACACTGGTTTTGTGTTTGTTGCTTTAGTGGTTCAGTAGCTGAGAACCACAGCTCAATCTGATGATTGATTATGGATTTATTATTTAATTCTATAATTAATTATAAAATTATCTATAATATGATTTAATTAATTAAACTGTAAATAAAATGCAGAATTGTCTCACAAATTACACATTAATCCTATTAAATTATGACTTTATTTAGCTATTTTCTAGACAAATCAAAATCTGTATTTTTAAACACAACTTTAAAAATGATTTTCTTCAATCATAAACAGGACATTTTCCTGTATAAAAAATGCGTTAATAACGAATAGGAAATTTTATATCAATATATATATATTTACATAATTACAGTTCAACATAGTTTCGACCTTTATCTGATTATCATAAAAAAAATTATCTCATAATGTGAATTATGCACATAATTTTCATATTAACGGGTCATTAACTGATTTAAAATTATTTTAATGTCATGCAACCGAACGGAAGTCGTGCTAACTTTTGATATACAGATTACTTTAAGTATAAACATATTGATCCTAAATTTACATACACGTTTTCCATTTATATGTATACGTATCGGTTATAATAAGGAGTCAATGTGCTGAAGTGATAACTTAAAGATAAATTTCTTAAAATATTTAACTCAAATGGCAACCACATGCTTTGAACAGATGTTTGAACTGCCGACAAAGTAAATGGTCTTCTGCACAATTTCGTCCTTTCATTCTCTTTCATAACGATTCAAGCAAATTAGGTTGCAATAAAACTGTTAAAAGTCGAACAGGTGAGAAGCTTTCCTTGCATCTGCACTGTCACACACCCCTATTTTCGGTTGTCTTTGATGTGTTAAACTGTGCAGTGAGGAGCATCAAACAAACAGCAATGCTTCTTAACTGTCAGTATCTTAATCTTTCTTTGTAATACGGGTATATTTATATGCTCCTGCTACTACTTTACAGCGAGAGGACAGTAGGAGGAGGAAATATATAAACTGTTAAGTTATTATATGTAAATGTTTCTTCTTAATTGATTGATAATGGTCGAAAGTTAATTTAGAAGGTTTTTTCCATGTAATTGAAAAAAATTGATGCGACTTCGCAGGAAGCTAAGTTTTCAAAAGGATAGTTACTTACTTCGATAAATTTCTATACGCTTCAGAAAATGACTTTAAAATGTTATATTTGTAATAAAAAATTTAAATGTAGAATTGCATCAATGTGTTAGTAATTATGAGATGCGGAGGAAGATGAAACAGATAAAGATGCTAATTTAGTAACCGGTAAGTCAACTTATCCATGTTTTAAAAGTATGGAATATTTTTGGCGATTATTGATGGGAATTCTTGATATTTTTGGCACTTGACACTGTCAACACTCCACATTTTTTCTTAATAAAAATGACAAAAAAAAATTTCGATTCTTTGTAGTAAAGAAAAGCAAGTTTTACATGGATACCTTCTTATAGTTAAATGATTACAAAATTCCATACTTTAATACATTTTTATAAAATTTAAAAACTATTTAGCTTTGTAATTAAAATGAATCACTATTAATGAATTCAAACGTTTTAACGATTCACAAAAATTTTTTTTTCTATTCGGATTGCTCGAATGAAAGTGAGATACTTGTATCAGTGTCATTGTTTCAATACATAGAGCTTTGTGTTTATGCTGTTATGGTGTTGTACGTCAGAAAGCAAGCTATTATCGTCGAAAAATGTGCGGTAAATACAATAGTGACATGGATATGTTCAGCCACGTACTTCACTACATTATACAAACTCAAAACGGTCATCAAGAGTAAGCGACTCGGCATGTTGTCAAACGGGATTATTCTATTGCAAGACAATGTAAGCCCGCATGTGGCAACAGTGTGCTAAGATTTGCTGCGGCGCTTCCGCTGGGAGGTCCCCGATATCCCCCTATAGCTCCTA